ACTCAATTCCTATGCAAAAAAAGAAAAAAAAAATGATAGTAACATCACATCAAAGAAATAACAATCGAGAGTCCTCCAAAATAAGCAGCTAGTATTTTATAATGACTTGAAGTGTTTAATTCTTTATAGACTAGGGAAGTGGAAAATACTCAGTCACTTCACTTGTAACAGTTCCTCAATCTAAAGAATGATCTAGTGCCTTTTTTTTTTTTTTTCCTTTTTTCTTTTCCTGTAGTGGTACATCACTAGACTGGGCTTTACAAAACCAGGAAACTCCTAAAGCAAGAAACAGTAAAACCATTTCATCCTCTTCATTTAAAATTTTTCAAAAAGATTCTTATGATTAAGATTCCAAAAATATTTCAACACATCCATTCAACAAAAACATACCCACCACCCTTTTTTCTTTTTTTTCTTTTTTCTTTTTTTCTTTTTTCTTTTTTCTTTTTTCTTTTTTCTTTTTTCTTTTTTCTTTTTTCTTTTTCCTTGGTTCATCCACAAACGCAGACTGTGGAGAGGCTTCTTCAGCGGCTGCGCTTCGACAAGGCACAGGGTGTCCCTCAGGGTCGTTCAGAACAACAGTTGGACAGCCTGCTCGTGTTTGCTGTCTGAACACAGCTGCAATTCTTCAGGTTTTGGAATGACTTGGATGCCTCCTGAGGTCCACCTGACCTCCACGCTGCGGGCCATCAGCCTGAGCTTGGTCCGGTGGAGACACCTCCTTTCTGACCATTCCCTCTGCTGACTTTCCGCAAACACCTTGGAGCACCTGAAGGCATTAGACAATGGGTCACTGATGAGTCGTTTTCCTCTCCCCGTGATCTCCAGTCTGTTTTTCTCTCAAGTCACACTGATTTTCTGTTCTTTGCACGATATTTACCTCATCACGCTCAGGTTTATTTCCAAGCTAGATAATAAATGGAAAAGTATATTTGTAGTAACATGTTTAAGCGGTTAGGAACAACTAAACAGTGAGTTAGGAGAGCAGAACAACCTAAAGGATGAGAACTTTCCCCCCCTCCCAAGAAAGGGGAAGGTGCCATAAAACTCTGCAGCTAGCCAGCATAACTGGCAATGGGATAGTCTGAGTCCCTACAGTTTTGCTCTCATCACGCTTACGCTTACAATAAAACACATCAGCATTTGTCTACCTGAATGGAAGTATTAAATGACCATCAGACATCAGAGGACACTGAATGAGGTTCAAATGACATCGTTGACTTATACACATAGAAAAAAAGGGTAAGTAGTTAAAGGGCATACAATAGGTTTTAGCCAACACAAATTCAATGTACATTATGGTTTCACTGCCTCACTTATTAAGACAAAAATCTGCCTTTTAGAAAGCCTGAGGGTCTATAGAAAGCAAGCAACTAGAGTAAGCAAAAAAAAAAAAATAGAGTAGCTCTGCTGCAACAAAGGATTTTTACATCGGAATTTTAAAGCGAAGTACTTTCTTAATCCATTATGTTCATTCTTGCAGTTTGTTACAAGAAGAGGAAGTCAAGATTTGAAAGACTTCCACGAAGAAACATTATTTCATAACTAAAAATAGGAGTGACAGGAACAATTCTAGAAGTCTTTAAAGTAAGCGAACAAACGACATTAGATTGCCCTCCGACAGCTGTTAACTGGCAAAAGGAAATGATGACAGAAACCTGAAATTTTCATTTTCATGTGTGGGACTGAACGATGGTGAACAATGACATCACCTGCATCTATACACCCAAAGACTGTGACTAAATCTTCGTTCTTTCAGGCACAGGCAACCAGTAATTGATAGGGTTCACCAAAAAGTTTAAGCGACTGACAAAAATGTAAAGCATTAGAGTTGTTTGCTGTTGGCACGAGGATGTCTGGCAAGCCCAATCCCACCACGGCTCTTCCTCTGGTCTTAGCAGTTCCCAGGGAGCACGTAAGCAGCGTCGGTTCCCTTTTCTGCTCTTACAGGAACAGCTTTGTTCATCGTAAGGGAATGAAGAAGAACACGAGTTCCATGGCAGGGGGGCTGGAACTGGGAGATCTTTAAGGTCCTTTCCAACCCAAACCATTCCACAATTCTATGAACCCATCCCCATACTTTGCAAGTTATTTTTAAAACCTACACT